CGCTTCTAGTAATCACTTGGTACGCGAAGCCGACTACCCTGGCATAAGTGCCTGAGAGTTTACGTGGTACAGATCCCTATACGGCTTTAGCAAGCCAACGTAGAACACTGGATGAGCACGAATTCTACTAAGCAGAATTAGCGTATATGCTAGGCCCTTCTTGGCCACGACCGTAGAGGGTCCGATGGAGCGTGGAAGCATGTAATGGGCAACCTATTACATGAGTAGATATAGGAATAATACATAATTACATAAGTAAACATAGGTCAGTATCCGATTAGCGGATACTGCGCGTCGTTTTATTTTTGGTTTATTATTGGGGTGCCAGACCCAATAATTAACCAATAATAAGTTGACTTCCATATTGAGTGGTTCCCATGAGCTAGGGAACATATTTGCACTTACTGCGAATTAAAACTAAAACAAAAATACAACAGAGTTATATTTGCGAGTTAATTAAGAGAGCTTCCTCAACGACCTTTTAGTGTAAGACGGTAAAGGGTCCTTCGCCCGTTACAAACGGTAGCACTTCGTAGTCCTTCCCATGACCAGATTCGAGATGATCATGGACGAGTCTTCGGTGTATCCAGCGGTCTCGCTGGAGCATTCTGATTTTCCACATCTCACCTCGGTGGAGTAGCAGGCACTACATCGCCTCGCGGCGGTGTCTGGTGAAACTATTGTGACGTCGCTGCTGAGCACAGCGACGTCCGATGATCAGCGTGCCGCCATCCAAGACTTTATGGTGCGCGAGCTCGCCGAAGCGCATCGGCGAGTATTGACTCCCTCGCGCACTTCGCACCATGACGCTATCAAGATGGAGACGTCAACGTACTCCGGTGATGGTCCGGATCGTCTACCCCATAATCTTTGGTTTCGCGAGGTGGATATTGCAATCGCGTCAAGATTAATTGACGCTCCGACGGCCAAGGTCAATTTCCTGCTGTCTCGCCTTGTTGGCAAATCCAAGGAATGGGCTCTCGGAAAGCTCGTCGTAGATGAGTCGGCATTCCCCACGCTGGACTATATCCAGCGTGACTTACGACTGGCTTTCGAGCCTCCTCAAGATGAATCTCGCTTGCGTGCAGATTTCTTCTCACTCCGACAGGGCAAGCTGTCAATGCGTGACTACGTGCAGAAGACACGTCATATTGCTTCGTACATTACCACGCAACCAATTGACATGGCTTCACAAGTCCATGTCTTTTATTTTTGGCATGCAAGAGGGCATGACGCGTTACTGCCTCACACGTGCTGAATCAAAGTCCCTCGAGGAGGCATTTTCCCTCGCGCTTCGCGAGGATTACACTGTCGCGTCGTCGTACCTGCACGCAGCGTCACAACATCTCCGGACGTCTGGGCCAGAGCCAATGGAACTTGATGCAGTTGGGTCCTCTCGTGGTCGCGGCAAATCATTAGACCGCGACATTCGCAATCCTAGCACGATGAAGTGTTTTCGCTGTGGTATAGACAGGCCATCGTGCGGCTGTCTGTCGTGCACCTGCACCGGTGACTATGAACACAGCTGTCTCACGAGTAGACGCTGTGTCGTCGGTGGTACCGCCAAAAAACGATCGGTTCCAGTAGACGTGGGGCGCCCTACTGGCAGAAATGGAGCCCCGAGTACTCAGGTGGCAGCTCGGGCTCCTAGCCCCAAAGTGATTCATTTTCACTTTAATGCCACCACCATGCGCGATGATTCGAGACTGATTATTATCAGTCTCATCGTTGCTGGATTGAAGCGACCACTCCGAGCGTTGTTGAATTTTGGCGCTTCCAACAACTTCTTTCGTGCATCCTTTTTGTCCCTTCTTCCGTCGACTGTCACGGTTCGAGAAGGTCCAGGTGACATCGTTGTCAAACTTGCCGATGGACAACTAAAACGTGTCCCGCGTAAAACAGTGGTTTTACCGTACACTTTCGACGGTTTCCAGAGCAACGACGATTTTTTGTGTACGAGATAAACTATGCATTTGATTGCATACTTCGGATACCGTGGCTGTCACGGTATCAGCCGAAGATAGATTGGCTATCTCGGTCCGTCAAACGACGAAGCGGTTATAACGTCAGTGAAGTGTTTACTTATTTGTTGGTCTCTTCATCCGATTGGCCTCACGTCAAGGTCGTGAACGAACTCGCCACGACTAGTAGTCAACACAGAGAGAGCGATGGCCCTCTGTGCGCAGTATGTTCCGTTACACTGATGTAGCCACAGAACGAGGCGGTCGAACAGCGGTTCCTGCATACACAATCATTGGTCGAACAGGTGTTCCCGATTCACAACGAGGCTGTCGAACAGGGGCTCCCGCATACAAGCACATCGGACGAGCAGAGGCTCCCGCATACAAGCACATCGGACGAGCAGAGGCTCCCGATCAATTTCGAGTCGGTCGAGCAGAGGCTCCCACGTACAAGCACATCGGAAGAGCAGAGGTTCCCGATCAATTTCAAGGCGGTCGAGCAGGGTCTCCCTGTACCTCCTCTGCTTGTGTACTAAGGATCGTGCAGCCTATGAGGCCTTGATGGCGGCGCTTATATCGCGCGCCGTTTACCGGACCCTGGCGAGAGTAGAGATAAATGCAGAGAATGAGATCTAATACGACGCATGCGGAAGTAAAGCTACTTTAGAGGAAAGACAGCTCGCGTAACGCGTTGGTATACATACATGTTCATGTCCCTCTACCCTCAAGTCTGCAAATGCGCGACCGTTTAGACAAAAGCTAGCTCTATTGATGGCTTATCGGTATAACGAGAAGGTTAAGACCTTCATTCAGCTAATGCACCCTCTTGAAGCGTATCTGCGGAGACATTGGGCGTTATTCTTAGCGTTGCGGCCGATGTTATAAATGACGTTGGTCATTTACGTCACTAAGCGAGCTTAAGTATTATTAAGCTCGCACGTAAGTATGCGCATCGAAGAAAAAGCATTTAATCATTAAAAGTTAGCCAATCAAGGTTCTAATTTACATAATGTAAATTTTTATAATATAAATTAGTCTTGAACAATCAGTACTCCAGAAGACTGGCAGCAGCTTTTGGGTCTGGGGCCTGTCGACGGAGGTGTCCAACGGTAGGTATCTTGCTTGGATCCCTTGGATGTCTATCTTGTAATTAGGTCCCACCCAGGGAGAATATCTTGTTGCTCGACCGGGACCAAAGGACTACGCGAGCGTACCTAAGCGGAGATGCCGGGACTTCGGGCGAGGCGGCGTACATCGTGACGGCTTGTCTGGCGGCTGGGGGTGAGTGCGGCAAAAAAGAGGTTTGTAGAGGGAAATTTCCAGTCACAACTGACGGATTGCCGTGGAAACATCCTTTAAAGGCTTGAGCTAGCATCATGCTAGCCCAAGCCTTCCGGGAGGGCGTTACTCCAACCCGACCAGGATGAACATCAAGGGTAAACACAGGTTACAATTTAAGGCAATCATCCGCTTTTGGGAAAAGGTTTGTACTACGAATTAAGCTACCTACTACATCCTACGTGTTGAAAATATTAATTGCATAAGCACTAAACACCATGACGTAAATTTTGGAGTTGACGCACCCGGTATCTATAGCTTTCGGCTCCAAACAATCTTAATTATGCTCCGAAAGAGCATAGCACAATATCAATACTAGTAGCTTTAAAGTAATGTATATTGGCATGCAGGCTGGCTCGTTTGACCAATAACTTTGTTGTCAAAAATTTGCGCTTTGATTGAACGATACTTTAAACTTCTAACGGAAGCACTCGAGGAAGTTCGTATATCTAGGCGGGTACTAGATGTACGCCGGGGAAGTCTGCTACGTAGTTTTAGAATAGTTTATTGCGCGGTAATTCTAGAATGCTCGCTGCATATGGCAGCGGTAGAAGCCGCCGCACTGAGGTTGCGATCGGTAAGCCACTGAGGAGGCCCGCGGCGGCCGGCCGGAATGCGTCTGGCACGCCTCCGTAAGTAAGGTCATGTTGTCATGCGTTCTGAGTATTCTAAACTCGCTATCGAAAAAATCACCTCTTAAACCTTTCAGGTTGATTTTTGAATAGTTGCATTCCCGTGCGTGGCACTCGCAACCTCCCTATGCAAGGCACTGTCTTCACGGCAAACACTTTACACGTCTGTTAGCTTTGATCAGTGGCCAGCTTTTCATTCAATCCTGTCGAGTTGGCTTCTTCAAATGGCACATTATTTAAGGCGTATGTTGTGTAACTGGTGGGTAGATGCATATTTCCATGTGATCCGAGTGTGATGATCCACCTTAGTGCCCCCATACTTCTTTTCTCCCCATTGCTTGCTAACAAGGCTTGGGAACGTCTTCTTCGTCAATATTTCAACTAATGTGTCACTTTCACTGCACTCAAGTCTTTTGATGCCTTGTTTTAGACGCTATCAATGGTCGACATCAATGAACACAGTTCAGAACTTAGTTTTTCAATCATTTCTCTACAATACTCATACCGTTCTGAATTGTTTCTCGTACAGAACCTTAACCATGAAATAAGCAATCGTCACGAATTAGTACAAATCGACTGCCGCAGTGAAACCATGAAAGTGAAAAGTCCGGGAAGAATTACACGAATTTGTGCATTAACTGACGTGGATGTCAATACTGTGAAGTGAAAGTACGCGTGCACTAGAAGCAAAATGGAGCAAAACGGTGTTCCGTTTGAGGCTGGTACAGACTTGACTTCTGGGCAATGGCTCGAAGTTGTTGATGTGTTACCCCTTGTTTGTCTATGCGACAGAAGATACGGATAGGCCGGATCATGAATTGATTCGCAAATGAGTGATGATCAACACTTGGAACAGCAGAAGATAGCGACGACGTAGAGAATATTATGGAGAAGATAGCGGTAAGCGTATGCGTATAAGTAGTGTGAGTCAGCTCGCTTTTCAATAATGTTATTGCAATCAGATGTTCATTATTGTTTATGCAGAAACCGTAAAGTGGTGGTCATACGATATATCTAGATCCGTGTCACCACGTCGCTTTCAACAAGTGCTGTCGATGCTCTTATTATCCTACATACTTCCATTACTCGGCGCGATTTCTGGAATGTCACGGCTGTCGTCCTCCGCGTCTTCGCTTGCCTCAACTTCCTCTGGGAAACGGCTGCCGCCCTGGGTACCGTCAGCTTCGGGACTTTCACTGCCTTGCACCTCCTGTAAGAAACGTTCACCATTGAATCTTCCACTGACTTTTGCTGCAGCACCGTTCAGTTCGACAAGGAAGCGCTCAGTGTCAGTGCTATCAACGCTGTCTTCCTCTGGGAAACGGCTGCCGCCCTGGGTACCGTCAGCTTCGGGACTTTCACTACCTTGCACCTCCTGTAAGAAACGTTCACCGCCGACAGTGGAACGGTCGTCAGTATCGGGAGTGCTGTCGTCCGAGTCCCCGCTTACACCTTTTTCCTCTGCAAGGAAACGTTCACCATTGAATCTTCCACTGACTTTTGCTGCAGCACCGTTCAGTTCGACAAGGAAGCGCTCAGTGTCAGTGCTATCAACGCTGTCGTCATCTGCGTTTTCGCTTGCCTCAACTTCCTCTGGGAAACGGCTGCCGCCCTGGGTACCGTCAGCTTCGGGACTTTCACTGCCTTGCACCTCCTGTAAGAAACGTTCACCATTGAATCTTCCACTGACTTTTGCTGCAGCACCGTTCAGTTCGACAAGGAAGCGCTCAGTGTCAGTGCTATCAACGCTGTCGTCATCTGCGTTTTCGCTTGCCTCAACTTCCTCTGGGAAACGGCTGCCGCCCTGGGTACCGTCAGCTTCGGGACTTTCACTACCTTGCACCTCCTGTAAGAAACGTTCACCATTGAATCTTCCACTGACTTTTGCTGCAGCACCGTTCAGTTCGACAAGGAAGCGCTCAGTGTCAGTGCTATCAACGCTGTCGTCATCTGCGTTTTCGCTTGCCTCAACTTCCTCTGGGAAACGGCTGCCGCCCTGGGTACCGTCAGCTTCGGGACTTTCACTACCTTGCACCTCCTGTAAGAAACGTTCACCATTGAATCTTCCACTGACTTTTGCTGCAGCACCGTTCAGTTCGACAAGGAAGCGCTCAGTGTCAGTGCTATCAACGCTGTCGTCATCTGCGTTTTCGCTTGCCTCAACTTCCTCTGGGAAACGGCTGCCGCCCTGGGTACCGTCAGCTTCGGGACTTTCACTACCTTGCACCTCCTGTAAGAAACGTTCACCATTGAATCTTCCACTGACTTTTGCTGCAGCACCGTTCAGTTCGACAAGGAAGCGCTCAGTGTCAGTGCTATCAACGCTGTCGTCATCTGCGTTTTCGCTTGCCTCAACTTCCTCTGGGAAACGGCTGCCGCCCTGGGTACCGTCAGCTTCGGGACTTTCACTACCTTGCACCTCCTGTAAGAAACGTTCACCATTGAATCTTCCACTGACTTTTGCTGCAGCACCGTTCAGTTCGACAAGGAAGCGCTCAGTGTCAGTGCTATCAACGCTGTCGTCATCTGCGTTTTCGCTTGCCTCAACTTCCTCTGGGAAACGGCTGCCGCCCTGGGTACCGTCAGCTTCGGGACTTTCACTACCTTGCACCTCCTGTAAGAAACGTTCACCATTGAATCTTCCACTGACTTTTGCTGCAGCACCGTTCAGTTCGACAAGGAAGCGCTCAGTGTCAGTGCTATCAACGCTGTCGTCATCTGCGTTTTCGCTTGCCTCAACTTCCTCTGGGAAACGGCTGCCGCCCTGGGTACCGTCAGCTTCGGGACTTTCACTACCTTGCACCTCCTGTAAGAAACGTTCACCGCCGACAGTGGAACGGTCGCAGTATCGGAAGGCGTCGTCCGAGTCCCCGCTTACACCTCCTCTGCAAGAAACGTTCACCATTGAATCTTCCACTGACTTTTGCTGCAGCACCGTTCAGTTCGACAAGGAAGCGCTCAGTGTCAGTGCTATCAACGCTGTCGTCATCTGCGTTTTCGCTTGCCTCAACTTCCTCTGGGAAACGGCTGCCGCCCTGGGTACCGTCAGCTTCGGGACTTTCACTACCTTGCACCTCCTGTAAGAAACGTTCACCATTGAATCTTCCACTGACTTTTGCTGCAGCACCGTTCAGTTCGACAAGGAAGCGCTCAGTGTCAGTGCTATCAACGCTGTCGTCATCTGCGTTTTCGCTTGCCTCAACTTCCTCTGGGAAACGGCTGCCGCCCTGGGTACCGTCAGCTTCGGGACTTTCACTACCTTGCACCTCCTGTAAGAAACGTTCACCATTGAATCTTCCACTGACTTTTGCTGCAGCACCGTTCAGTTCGACAAGGAAGCGCTCAGTGTCAGTGCTATCAACGCTGTCGTCATCTGCGTTTTCGCTTGCCTCAACTTCCTCTGGGAAACGGCTGCCGCCCTGGGTACCGTCAGCTTCGGGACTTTCACTGCCTTGCACCTCCTGTAAGAAACGTTCACCGCCGACAGTGGAACGGTCGTCAGTATCGGAAGTGCTGTCGTCCGAGTCCCCGCTTACACCTTTTTCCTCTGCAAGGAAACGTTCACCATTGAATCTTCCACTGACTTTTGCTGCAGCACCGTTCAGTTCGACAAGGAAGCGCTCAGTGTCAGTGCTATCAACGCTGTCGTCATCTGCGTTTTCGCTTGCCTCAACTTCCTCTGGGAAACGGCTGCCGCCCTGGGTACCGTCAGCTTCGGGACTTTCACTACCTTGCACCTCCTGTAAGAAACGTTCACCATTGAATCTTCCACTGACTTTTGCTGCAGCACCGTTCAGTTCGACAAGGAAGCGCTCAGTGTCAGTGCTATCAACGCTGTCGTCATCTGCGTTTTCGCTTGCCTCAACTTCCTCTGGGAAACGGCTGCCGCCCTGGGTACCGTCAGCTTCGGGACTTTCACTACCTTGCACCTCCTGTAAGAAACGTTCACCGCCGACAGTGGAACGGTCGTCAGTATCGGAAGTGCTGTCGTCCGAGTCCCCGCTTACACCTTTTTCCTCTGCAAGGAAACGTTCACCATTGAATCTTCCACTGACTTTTGCTGCAGCACCGTTCAGTTCGACAAGGAAGCGCTCAGTGTCAGTGCTATCAACGCTGTCGTCATCTGCGTTTTCGCTTGCCTCAACTTCCTCTGGGAAACGGCTGCCGCCCTGGGTACCGTCAGCTTCGGGACTTTCACTACCTTGCACCTCCTGTAAGAAACGTTCACCATTGAATCTTCCACTGACTTTTGCTGCAGCACCGTTCAGTTCGACAAGGAAGCGCTCAGTGTCAGTGCTATCAACGCTGTCGTCATCTGCATTTTCGCTTGCCTCAACTTCCTCTGGGAAACGGCTGCCGCCCTGGGTACCGTTATCTTCGGGATTTTCACCACCTTCCATCTCTTGTAAGAAACGTTCACTTTTGGTGCTGTCAATGTCAATGCTGGTAAGAAATTTCTTTTCCGAACGAAGATTGGCGGCATTCACCGTGTCAATGGTAGTAAGGGCCATCGCAACAGCAGCTGCGAAGCTGAGAATAACGTTTAGGTTGGTCATGATTGGAGTGGTAGTTGGCTGTCTTAAGGCAAATTCGGAAGTGGTTGAAGCAAACGATTGCCTCGAGCACGAGAATGCCGTTGTTTGTGCGTGAGCATGAAGATCATCCGTTTCTTAGCTCTGCAACGGCCCATGGCAATGATAAAGGCCACGAGCACTTTATAACTGTCCGATATCCTCCTTTGCGTTTGTCAACAACAGAAATAGATACTATCACGACCTGTCCTACATGCAACGTTGGGCCTAAGTCATTTGATATGACTCCAAGTCAGTCCTTTCGCTCTTTTTATATGTTGAAACCTTTAAATTTGTAGTTTTGAAACTGTCACATTCTAGTTTCAAGTGTTTCGCTTATACGACCATGACTCGACGCGGTATCTTCCTGCTCTTTGAGGGTGTGGATCGCTGTGGCAAGACAACGCAGGCCAAACTTCTTCACGAAGCTTTAAACACCTTGTCACCGTCTCAACCATCAACTTTGTTGCACTTTCCAGACCGCAGTACCGCCATTGGTAAAAGCATTCATTCGTACCTTACGAGCTCTGACGTTATGGACGATCATGCCATTCATTTGCTTTTTTCTGCTAACCGATGGGAAGCAGTCACTAAGATCGAGTCGATCCTGGCCAGTGGTCACCATATCGTAATGGACCGTTACTCTTTCAGTGGGGTGGCTTTCTCTGCCACTAAAAACGGCATGTCTCTTGATTGGTGCTGGGCACCAGAGATCGGGCTGCCTAAACCCGACGCTGTCATTTTTCTTGATGTGCCTGTCTTACAGGCGTCTACTCGAGCTGACTTTGGTCAGGAACGGTACGAGCTTATAGACTTTCAGGAGCAGGTGTACCGAAACTTTTACGACATTATGGAACACACGACGCCCAAGTGGCACGTCGTAGACGCCACGGAGACAATAGACCAAGTGCACGACAAAGTGCTGGCTATTGCCAAAGAAACAATTGCAAAGTATGCAGAAGCTCCACTTAACCACTTTGAAAAATGGTGAAGACAGAGAATGAAAGCTGGATTCGAAGGATCACAATTTGTTTAAGATTTGTTTTGTATTCGTATATCGGGTAAAGAGTCATCAGTTAGCATTTGAACAAGAACTATTGTCCTTCCCTCCATTGGAAGGTTGCTGACAAGAACTATTGTCCTTCCCTCCATTTGGAAGATTGTTGGCATCAATCAAACATTTTGTTGCTCTTTCATTTCGTAGTTTAACTACTTCAAGCCATTCGTACCGAACAGAAGATGACTGTTAGTCTAACACCATATTCTGTAACTTTGTAATCTTTAGTGAAACTGATGCAAGTACGTTCGACAGTTGTTCAAGCTTACAAAGACACCGAGCATCTGGCCAAACCTCTGATAAACGAGCTATTATTAATGTGAGCTTCCTACCAGTAGATAACACTAAGCCCACTCTGTCCTCAGCGCACATCGTTTTTTTTGGTGTGATAGTCAGAAACGGTGACGGCATTGTAACATACCGATCTGCAACTACAGACTCTAGGCGAATCAAGCGTCCGTATTCGTGCGGATGCAAGTGCCAATCAAACCTATTGTCTGTCTACAAGGAGAAAAGAAGTACGACACGAACCCAGACAATAGTAAAGCCTCCGTGCGTTTGCCCTTAAACACCAGATATTACGTTTTCAATAAGATTACGGGGAACTTTGGAAGCACATCGCTTCATTCGGTAGCGAACGATATATCAATATACGACCAAAGATACAGACATTAGACAGACACCGTCTCCATCATTCTTCATACCAACGATGGATCAAATTCAGATAATGTAAATGCAACATCATATTAAGTCCCTGCATTCATCAGCCCTTTTTGCCTCAGCAACTTTTGACCCTGCAGCGTGCGATGTAGTGAATGTATGAGAGTGTTGGCTTGACAGATTTTACTTGCAAGCTCATAGGTCATCGTCGTCACATTGTAGCGCTACCAAAAGAAATGGTTGTGTGGCTATATTAAGCCTGCGGTTCCATGTCTGCCAAGGATCGTAAAAAAGCTTGATATACAGCTGTGTTACAAGTTGATCTCCTAGATGAGGTATTCATAGGTTATTAGTGCCAAGTAGATCAAAGTCCCCAACCTTATTAACATTTAATACCTCTTCCTTTTCGGTCTAGGTACCTATGTTCAGCTTTGGTCGATTGTCACCGCTTACCCGCTGATGGCACTTTACACATTGACTGTAATCTAAGAGCATGCTTACAAAAAACAAAGGCGTAACGTCGATTGCGTTGACTTCAATCCCTACTTTTTGCCGGTGCGACAAAGAAGACATCGATCGCGTTGCACTGCTTCTTGGTCATGGAGGGACCAGTGGCGCTGATGTCGTACTTTGTGCCCAAAACGTGATCAGTCTCGCGCTTGATTCCACGACGGGTCCTTTGACCTTTCGACACCGCATCTGCACGTACTTTCCGCTAACGTTTACATTGGAAATGGGTTGTGCATCAGCATTTCCTAATGGGCTTTTGATGATCTCAGATCCAAACGGCGCGCGTTGTTTCCAAAATCCTGCATGATGGTCAGTCCTTTATCTAAAGGAGATGGTGAACTATCTGAGTAGGGTAGAGCCAGGGGAAACTCTGGTAGAGTTCAACGCTTGAGGAGAGCCTCGAGCGATTAGAGTAACATCTCTGCAATCTCATTGGCCGAAGATGGAAGCATTTCTTAGGCGACGTCGCTTCGCGTAGTTAGGACAGTTAGGACGAATTACAATAATATTGCAATAACATTTGTTTTAAGGTTTTTCAAGTTTGGCCTGCCGATACAGTATATCATAACAACTAGAAGACGGTCAGACTAAAACCTAAATTTTGAATACAAACGCTATTTTAGGTCGATGCAATTCTCGTTAGGAATAACTAGGTCGAAGGTCTTTGCCATAATAGATGCACACCATAAAGACCATGAAGATTATTAGGGTCGTTGCTTTAATTTTGTAGGATGTGAAAAAGCATAGGGTAGAAGAAGGATTGAAAAATGTATAAAGGTTGATAATATATATACACAAATCGAACTTGGTCTCTTCACTTCAACATGACCCAGAATATGAATTGTTCTGTAATGTCGTCATCATCTTTGTATTAGATACATTCGTATATAGTCGCAATCATTTCCATTCACTAATTAGTCAGCCAACTGACACTCCCACTTTCTGTACGCTAAAGAAAGAAAAAAGCGAAGAATTATACGACGCAACGCAACGTTTCCAGCGCTTCTATCGCCCTCCTTCGCAGCTTTTTTCTTCACGTCTTTCTTCTTATCGGTCTCTTGGTCGCGTTTACGGGGCGTCTATACGAGCCCAGGAAGAGAGAGAAAACTACTGCATAAAACCGCATTAAAACCTCAATTTTAGCGTTTAATTCGTCTCATTTTAGCCATGGAAATAGTGCGTAAACGCCCACAGCGTCAAAAATCTGCTAAAAAGTCGGAGGAATCAAGAGACACGGATGTCACGACGAGTGGCAATGAAGATGCGAAGAAATTCGCAGTTCAAGTGGCAATGACGGAGCAGGATTTTATTCAAGAGCCACTGGCAACAAACGAGACAGTTTGTCGTAATGAGGAGGACTTGATGACTTTAACACAAGACGGAGAAATGCCAAGGGAACTGGAACTACTTGAAGCTGAAGGATCAGGCTCTCAACCTCATAAAGATCATGAAGCAGAGAGCCAAGAGTTTATACAGCAGGTTCAGGACAACGCTACCGATACTTTAGAGATCCAGGACAAGATCAATGCCTTTTCACCATTGATTTCGGTGAAGAATGGAGCCATTTCTGTTCCTACAGCCCCACTTTTTGAAGATGCAGAGCTTTCAAAGGACCCTTCAACACAGTTGCTGCTAGAAACGAGTGCTTCATCTTTTCCAACTGCGTCGCTACCGACGCAATCGGCTATCCCACGTGTAGGCTATGAGAATACAGTTTCACCGGGTACTGATGCATCTGCACCGTCAGCGCCACCGATAATTGAAGACGACGACGACGTGACGGATCATTCAAGCACGACTCCGTCGGCACCGTCGTTGTCACCTACAGCATCAAAGAAGATGCATCAAGTTGCTGCATTACCGCGGAACTCGGAGAAACTGAGCCCCGTGATGAGAAATTCAGTCAAAGGAGCAGCGACGAGTGTGTCAGTAGAAAGTGCTAGCAGGGCAGTACGACATTCGTTTGCTACATCGCATCAGGCGGAGGAGAAAGCTGGGATGCATAGCATTTATCCGTCCATCCAGCAGGAAGTTGCGAGAGGAATGACATTAATCACAGAAGAAAAAGCTTGTGAAGCTCAAGCAACATACCAGCAGCTTCTAAAGAAAAAACATGTTCGTGTGAAGCTAGAGCCATTCATTAACTACGAAATGACCTTGATGCGAGCCGAGGCGTCACAAAAGCGTCAGGAAACGAAGATGCGTCACATTGAGACAAACAAAGGCGAGCTGTACGCGCGGTTGGAGCGATACTTGTTTTCAGAGTATATATTGCACAACGCTGCGTCGAGGTTGGACGAGTACAAAAAGAAAATTGATGTGCTTATCAAGAAAGGTACGCGTGGACTTTGCTCTAGTATGTCAGCGTTGACGTAACTTATATGAATTTGTTTACTCGGAGCAGTGTGGACTTTGGAAAAGAAGCGAGTTTCTTTGGCAAAGCGCTGTGGCGACAACGTGGAAATTGAGCAGCAAATGGAGTTTCAAGCTGCAAAGTTGGAGACGCTTCAGCTTGAGAAGTTAGAAGTTCATCTTGATAAGCTACGGCAGCTACGAACGGTGGAAGCGTCGATGCATACTTTTGATCGTGCGATTTCCTATTTTCAAGTGGAGCAGTACTTAAACAGTGTGCTGCAAGAGCCGAATCTAGTCATGTTTCTGAACAAAATGAGCTCGTCGTGTGGTGGTACTAGCGGCATTGACGATTTGGGTCTTGTCCCAGAAAGCGCAAACTTTTACGCAGCTTTGCCTCAGGGCTCGTCCCTTGTATCGACAGTGGATCACTTGAGGTACTGTTTAGATGTGCTCATTTTCTTTGAAAAGAAGGTGACTTTGGGGGAGGAAGGAGTGTTTGGACGTGTGCCGCATTCGTTTTACCGGGGCGAGCTTATTTGGTATAGTAATCATGCCAAGATGCACTACAGCGCTGGGGGTGGCGCCGGAATGGAGCGTAAAATTAAGTGCTATGCTTGTAGCAGCTTGAACGCACCCATGAAATCCAATGAATGGTGCAAATTGTGTGAAAGCTGCGAGGTGGTACTGTATCTCCCACCATCATCTGTATCGACGAAGACGAACGAGTGGTTTGCAAGTATGCTGCGGTTCCGCAAGTCGTTACAGAAATGGATTTCGGCGTGCTTGCAGAGTCTCCTGCGTACGAAGTCGCTCCAGAATATGCCGTATCTTCTGATGCATGTGATGTACTTGCCTCGGATTTCGACCGATGAACGGTCGTGGTTTTTAGAATTCCTGCAGTTTCCGCGAGCAATGGTATGTACAGATGGCTCGTTAAGGAACGCGTGGAGTGAAGATTTAGTGGACCACTATATCGCCATGTTGCATTTAGTGTTTCATCCCGAGAAATTGCGGCGCATGTCGGTCATCGTATCCAGCGGATCTACTAATGGTACGAAAATTGCTAAAAGCGCCAACGTGGGTGTAGCGGATACCAAAGGAGTCGTACCTTCGGAATGGGTCCTGTTGGAGAATCCAGAAATGCTGGATCGATATTTCCTGTCGGACGAAGATTTTGTTGCTGTCTTAAACCAATTTCCGAACACGTTTGCATTTGAGCAGTTGTTTTGTTGCACCGCAAACGTGAAAAAGTGTTTTAGCCGAGCTCTGACGCTGGTTTTGGAATTTACTCACAGTTTGCGAGCATTTCAAGAGTTTGAAAAGTTGCCGGCGCGAATTGCGCAGCTTCTTGGACAATTACTTTCAGACGCGGCGGAGCTTCCCGGATCAGGCCGGCCTAATGGTTTTCGGGTAAAAGATACCGTGTGTTATCCGACACTCCTGGACCAGTTGTTCCTTACCAGTTTGCACGGTTTGATGGCAGCTGATTGTAATCGTGTGGCATGGAAGAGTTTGTGTTTGTACCCTTTTGGCTCCTTGTCTGAACTGGCGAAATGGGATGTGCTGGCTCTACTTTTGTTTAATCTACAAAGTCTACCAGCAGAGGCGAAAACGAGATCTGGGTGGATGCAGTTTATTGGTAAATTCAATTCCCAGGGCGCAAATGCAGGGGCACTGGCCCGCCAACACCTTTATAACCTGATCGAAACGGATATCGAGAGCTCGATGTATCTCCTGAACGCGGTGGCAAGTCTTGCTGCATCGTGTCAGTCAGGTCCTCTTGTCGACGGAGATCGATTTGGCGAGCGGCATGATTTGGTGTCTGTCGCAGTACACGAGTTGTTTATTGCAGGGTACACCGTTGAAAGATGCCAGCAGGCCTTAGGCAAAAACGGTGAGCGAGCAGCAGGTCCCTTAAGCACGATTTGTTTGGCACATCCGTGCGTGCTATCGCTTCTCATTACGCTGCTTTCTAAGTATCACCAGTGTGCAGAGACATGGATTCATGTGTTCGAGATGTTTCCAATCAATCGCTGGATGCCAACTGCGCAGGATTTGCTAAACTTGCAAGAATGGCTGCTACTTGAAGATACATCATCATCACGTTGTGCGCTGGCGCGTTTTCTTCTTGATCACATCAATTGGGAGTATGACGTCAAATCGAAACGATTGTTTACGGACGCAATGCTACACCGCCAAGTAGCTCTCATGGTTGCCGAAGCGCTAGTGTTATACAAAACGCGAAAAGAGTGTGCAAGCGACCCTGAATCAGCTATTGTACTGTCTGGAGGAGGGTCCCCACAGAAGCTTAAGGTCACTTCAATCGCCAAATCGATTCGTCGCGCTTTATGGCTAGGTGTGACGGTAGATTTTGAGAAGTGGTGCTGGAAACTTATGCTCAAACTGAGATTTTATTCTCCGAAGACGCAGGAGCCATTGCTTGCACTTATCGATCTTCGTCACGGTCGCTCTCGCGACGCTTTGACTTTGCGTAGGTGGTTTGCTGGAGCTTCTGTGTTACGGGCTGTGTCTTCTCGCAAAACTTTTCCGTTCTATACTTCATTTGAGGAGCAAGTTTCGCAGTATGGACTCGCTGACAACAATAGACGTAGTGCACTGGAAACAGAGATCGGCGGAAGCACTGGTGCTCCCATTCAACAGGAAAGTCGAAAGCTTTTGACACCTCAAATTCACAAAGAAATCGCCGGAGCAGATATTGAGTCGACAATTGCTGTTACAGCAGCTCCACGAACGGAGCCTATTGTGGCTTATGTAATATGCCAGATGACGACATTTGTGTTCAGCGACCGTCTCGATCGCTGGGAGCCGTTGTTAGTGTTGCTAAAAAGCGAATATTTTCCGGCAGCTATCAAAGTACTCGAAAATGTATTCCCTATTATAGCTCGACTGCACAAGACTAAAAATTGTCCGTTAAAATCTGTATCAGCGACAGCGTCCCAGCTAGATTTCGGACACGGAGCTAAGACGTGCACTGGAAATAGCGAAAGTGACGGGATTGCAGAATTATCCTGTGACGAAGCTGAAACTGAAGGGCCTAAACTGAGTAATGGTGTGGTAATGGAATATGACAACGAGCTGGAGGTTTGTATGGCGGCGATGCAAGCTCTGTCTATCGACGAGTTGTTGTGCTTGTTGACCTCGCTGCACGAGTTCTCATATATCAATACCGACGAACTTCATCGCATGCAAGAAGTTCTTAATAAGGGTTGTATTGGTGGGTGGGAAAACACAGCCAAGGAGCGGATTATGGCAAAACTTCGGTTTGTGCGTGAATGCAGTCGCTATTTGCACCCTGTTGTGCTACCCGCGCTCATAAATGAGTGTTTTCCCCAATCGAGCTCCATGTCAGTCACAACCTCAGCTTTATTTCATGGAGCAATGTCGTGGCTTTCTTCGGCTCTTGGGGGTGAGCGTAGCACAGGGGCATTGTCACCGTCGGCATCATCATCGACCAGCGCCGCCCTATCCATCCGGAACTCTTCTTTGACTGCCACGACTGCTTCGCTCGCGATGATACCAAATAACAGCTATTCTGAGTCAACAAAATCGCTGTGCGCATTGATCCGACGGTCCTTTGAGTGTGCCGTAGACGATTTAATTCTTGCAAATTCAATGCGGTTCTGGATGAAGGCATTATTACACGTTCCGTTTTGGTACGAAAACGCTGCGTTTCGACATATCCTAGATGTCATGCTGCACTGCAGTATGGAAAGTTTCTGCGAGTCCTCTCTCAGAAAGGATTCATTGAGTGGAAGCGCGAGTACCGGTGCATCATCAAAAACACTGTTCGAATTGGTGGAGTTGATTGAGTCTGCATTTGACGCCTTTTGTCGACGTGTAGCACAGCAGGCAACAAAAGATGCAGGGCAACCAGAACAACAGTTTGTCGACAATGAGCCAGTTCTTGTTATGAGTTTTCTTCCAGCAGTCGCCGCTTCGGTAACATTTGCTTCAGTATTCGGTGGTTCATTCGACGTTGCGCAATACGTCAGCGGTTGTCCGCACTTGGCATTATGGAGTTTGCTTGTTGAGACGCGAAAGGAAGCTCCGCTGTTTCTGATGATGGGGCAGCTTATGATCAGATTTGAACCTAAAACGATGAAGAAGTTGGAAAAAATGAAGAAGACAAAGGGTAAACTTGCTTCAGCTCTTGGTGCGATAGGAGACGGGAAAAGTATGGATAAGCAAACAGAGGAGATCATCTACGAAGCCCCGATTTCTGCGTCTCGTTTAGGCAACCCGTTGGCATTCGGTCATATTAGCCTTGATTCTCTATCGCAGTACAAGATATTTCGCTGGTGCAATTACTGCCTGGATCTGCCCGAGTCAGAGCCTACGCAAGTCATCTATTGGCAGGTATTTTTCGCATTGTACTTTGCAACTGCTGGTGGTTCTCGTGTCTTTGCGCACCATTTCCTGGACCGTACAGGTTACCGCAACTCAAAGCATGTGCATTTACGAAGACATCTCCAGAATAAACTACGAAAACTAGTTAATTACTGCTCTAACCAGGCGCAGATTGTTTTAACCGCTACGGGTGGTTCCAGTAGTCGCTCTTCAACTGGTGGGGGCTCCGCTTCGGACTTGAAGGAGCGGCGATATGCCCATCTAGTGGCGCTTTCCCAGCTGTACACTGCTATGAATGCTTGGCTTGAAGAAAAGGACCCAAACCAGTGGCTGAAAGAAGAGGAACTGTCGGGTTTACCACGCCACTACGAGGTAGACCGGCTAAAAGACGTCTTGCGTCTCAGTGACGCATTGCTAAACGCGCATTCAGACAAGATGAAATGGTCCGATTTGCCTTTGTGGATGGGTTGGTGTGGCTTTGAATATACTATGACGCGAACTACCTCGAAGTTGACGGCTGGCAAAAGTGAAGACGGCAGTACTAGTAGTTTGTTGGCATCTCCCCTTCCACCAACCGCTCCAGTCGGCGAAGAAGATGATTTCTCTTTTGTGGAAGAAGCATCGGTGCTCGCACGTCGACATAGCAGCTTTGGAGGAGTTGCAGGACTGAATAGCCTCAGCATCAAACCTTTGCCTTTAGTAATGGGGTCTTTCAGCCTAACGTCATTGCCAACAGTATCGGTTATGATATCACCTGATCGGTGTGCCATCACACCCACTATTCCATTAAACAAGGCAGGCTTAAAAATGCTGGCTATGAAATGCTCGGAGAAATTGTCTGTTCTTGTGGCACTCGACTCTGAAATGGTGGACAATGTATCTCAACTCTACCTTAGTAAGACAAGAACTGTGACACAGAGTCTGTCGTGTCCAGAAGGCACAAACTGTCGCGGTCCTGCGGCCTTTCGATTTGAGTTCTTGGAATGGATAATGAACTCACGCGCAGACGATGCTATTCAATCGATTCGTGCACAGGGTGAGCTATGCGATATGAGCTCCATGCTGATGACAAATGTGATACCATCGATAAGCGAACATGGCGACCAAATGCACGATGAAAGCGGTATGGCAATCGTCACGGCAACATCTACTTCAGCTGAACAATTCCTGCAGCTCGATGAAGATGGATTGATGTTATCTTTCCAAATATTACTTATCGACCAGGTTGTGCAAACGCTCATCAGGGAACACGAACGCTTGAAACAAAAACTAGAAAACGACGCCCCGGTGAGTTCGACAGCAACTGACGACGTTGTAAGTACCACCAAAGAGAAGAACGTTGACGCGGCGGATGATATTGCGGAGAATGAGTTGCTTTTGCCTATCCAAAGGACAGATCAAGAGGCGGAACGGTTGCATGAAAAAGGTCTTGAGTGGTTTCGTCTTCTCACTGAGCTCGACACGAAGCTGTCCCGAATGGTGCCACCGTTGAGCGAAGCACTATGGCGAGCAATTAAGCAGCTGGGATTAAACTTTGTTTGCGTTGACGAACGCGAGACTTGCACTCTGCTTCAACTCATGCTGGATGACCCATCCCGCATCAACCTACTTAGCGAATGTTTCTTTCCGGCGGCTGCGCCATCGTTTTTTGTGGAAATGTTTGCAAAACTGATGAGTGCAAGCAGTTCTTCTAAGCTCTCGAGCAACGAGAAGCTTATTGTGTTGCGCCGCTTTGACTTTCGTGCGTGGTTGAAGACTCCACAGACGCCCACCAAATTCGATCGCGACACCGTTTTGTGCATGGTTCTGGGTGATATTAGCCACCAGTTTCCTGCAGATCGTAGTTTGATGAAAACTACCCGAAAAGCTACGAACACCAGCGCGTGTAACCCCTTGGACAACGTGCTGCGTGTGTACGCGAATGTGCTCCAGCTAATATGTTCTGCTCACTTGGAAGACCATGTTGAAAAAATTGTGCATGCTTTAGTTGGCATCCACAATGACTACCGATTCCAAAATTCAAGTGGATACAATAGTGTCACGACTTCAACTGTCAGCGGTGGCGACGATTCTAGCATCTCTGAGGCACCGGCTTTACCATGTCCGGTAGATGTTTTGGTCTGGGAGTCTTTGGTTAGTATTCCATGGGCTTCCTGGAAAGAGCTCCCGCTTACGCAAATCGAGACTTGCGTCAGGTTTCTCAGCCAGCACATGACATCGCTGCGATGGCAAGGTGGACTGTCTGGCAGCAATGCCTTAAACACTGGAAGTAATAGTGAAGCACTTTGCGGCAAAGAGTTACAGAGTGCGTCACTTTGTTTATCGACAAAGTTCCCTGTTGTGTACTGGCAGCGCCTTGGTGTTCTAAAGAGCTTTCTTGATCTGTTCACGCTATGCTGTCGTGTGGCCCCAGAAGAACAGCAGTGGGAACTAATTACAGCGTTTTTCGAGCCCTTGCTTTCGACATTGTACCAGCCATCTACCAACACAGAAGGCTCGGCGATTAGTGCACCATGGTCGGACAAAGACACCATTTCTACGGGCACTACCATTTGTTCCTGCTTTGTGGCTACCTGCTCAGAGTACCTGAAGACTCCACCAGCAGTTAGACCAACACACGACACCTATCATTTGTCGCTGACACAAACAGCGAAGCTGTCACAAATTTGGTCTTTCTATCTTACGGTGCTTGTTCCGCATGCACCTACCCACATTTGCAAGCACTTTCATCAATTCATGACGCGACTGGCATGGGAGCACTGGTGTTTGACCTTGCAGATTGTGCAGCAGATGCGTGAACTTATTCAGACGGAAAAACAGCAACTCACAGGAGCGGCAATTGCGTCTAGTGACCAAATGGTTCCGCCGCTACACTCTACAATGTCGCCATATCCATTTGTATCATGGCTAGTGCGTGACATATTATGCCGCACAACTTGGAAATCAACAAATGCCTGGCTAGAAGCACAAAGCGAGGCTGTGTGCTCGTCATTTCTACTTGAATTTGCAAAGCTGTGCTTGGAGCTGGTGCTTGACCTACCACATTTTCATACTCAGTCTGGTAACGCAGTGTCAAGCAATGCTCTTCCGCCTTACTTTGTCAACTTTATTAAACAGCAATCAGCCTTTTGGACGAAGTGGAAGATGGTAGTGAGAGATCTGGAGACGCTGCAACAGTTCGCGCTAGATGCTTTAATGGAGCCGCTTGGAAGCCGAGCGACCATGAGATCTATGAGAAGTATTGTTTCAGTTGGATCATTTCCGACGACGCCAAGCACAGCGATAATGCAGGACGCATTCATTAGACTGCATTTGGCTCTTCGACTGTTCAGTCAGATTACTACACTGCACCACGACAAACTTTCCAGTCGGGAAAGTTTGCATCGAGTCGACCTCTTTCTTAGATTGATCTTTGGTGTATTTGAAGTAAACGATCGTGGTTCCCTGGACGGCAACCGTTACAACTCCGAGCATGCGGCATGGCTGATGGTCCTCTACGGGTCAAGTTGCACAGCGCTGTACGAAAAACTCGATGAAATTGTACACCTCTATAAAGCAAAAGCTGGAAACGATATTGGCGCTGAAGTTTCAGGTAGCTTAGATGAGATCGATGAGGGTATCTCAGAAGAATGTTTGACGGCCACGATATCGGGAATACTGCGGTTTTGCAACCTGTCGCTGGTGGAAGTGTTTTTCAATCAAATGCGTAGCAGTCCAAAGCCGGGCAGTGGAAGCTCTGCGCCATCTTCATCAGGGCTCAACTGGAACAAGTACGGCAACGTGATGTTTGTGGAAATTGACGCTCTTGTACGCAACTTTGCGTCCCATCAAAAAGCATTGCAACAGCAAAGTTACCGAGGGCATCAACCTTCGGACCGTAGTTCTGTCAAGGAAGAGCATGCAAGCGACACGAGTATTTCTGCAGTCCAGTCTCCTGCGGAAGCGATTGGGACACCTCTAGGAAAAGTTCTGTGGAGTTTTCTAGCTTTTCGTGGTGGAGAGCTGGCGTGCTTGGCTGCATGTGGGCGCGCTGTGGCCTCTGTTCACGTAATGAGCCAAGTAGCGGAGAAAAGCATTGAGAAATGGATCATTGAGGAGTGTCGAGGGATGTGGGATGTATTGGCTTTGCGGTTGCACGTGCCTGAATTGAGTTGTGACGAATTTGAGGCAGCTTGCCTGGAGCAAGGAAAACTACTCACTCTTCAGGTTCTTTTCCTACAGCAGCTACGTCGCGCCCCAGTGCTGACGGAATCGTTGAGTTTGGCGTTGGTGACCAAGTTGATGGGATGGATTGAACGTGCTCGAGTTGAAAATAGTGTTCTGGCACAAATGAAGCTGTTATTTCTGGCTGCGGAGGTGACAAACTTTGTATGCAAGCCATTGGCTGAGGTGCTCCCTTCAACGCTGAAAAAGCAAATGCTGCGACAACTGTCCGATCTACTATTGAAACTGGGTCATGCACGTCGCAACCATGGCATAATGAAAGCGATTGGTCTTGGTGGGTCTTTACAGTATGGTGTTGAATTTCACGTGTCCTGCATGGTGGCGGGTATATTCCTACGGCTGCAGACACGCAATGGCGCGCCGTTGCGAGTAGACGATCGTATTCGCTTCAAGATGACCAGTACCACGGAAAAACACCTGCGTTCTTTAGAAACATTGTTGCAGAGTAAAGACGCCTTTCAGCTCGGTAGACGTGCTGATGCATTCGTGGACTTTTCACGAGATTCTCGTCGAAGTCTTGCAGACCAAGACGAGTTGTTTGTGATGCTATTCTCGAGCATGTATCCAGCTCATGGGTGGCTACTTGCTAAGTGTCTATCCTAATTAAATGGAATAGAAGGCGCAACGTCACAATTATGAAAGAGATGGCAACTAGTTGATGTCAATTTGTTCACATTAGCTGGACAAGTACAGCTTCGATTCTCCATATAGATACATACCGTAAGTTGGTCCACTTATATACGCTCAGATACTTAACTGGTATTTATGTACTGAAATAGGGTAATTTGCGACAGCGGTAATTTTTAACTCATGACACAATCTCGTTTGGGCATTTTTTATAATCTTTTGCGTCCAAAATAAGGTTAATATAGTAGAAGGCGATGGACGAAAAAGTCTATCACTTACCGGAGGTTATAATATATCGAAGGATAATTTAGTCAGTACATATTTTGCTAAATGATGAAATGCCACAAAAATAGTGATACAATCACAATGGTAGCATTAAATAAACACCGCACTATGCTTGTTCTATTTTGTCACCGATGTGACCTACATTAGGACCTTTTTGCGAACTCACAGCATTAGCATGGAACATGTGCCTTGAGTTGAAGTCCATTCTATACCGCTTTACGATTGGTTAAGAAATAGCAACTTCAACTTTAATGAGTTTGACCCGTTTTCCGTCCATTAACCCATAGGCTTGCGGTAGAAAACAGCGCTCCAATCTCGGACAGAACTAGAAGAAGAAAGAGGCTCATTTATTTCCTCTGATTATCTTGCTCTTCATTCAATTGAAGATATACATGATTATGCTCGTCATGAAGGCAATGGCACAACCATTGCATATTGTACCATCACTAGTAAGCAACAAACAGTCAAGAAGATAAAAACATTTCAATTCAGTAGTTCCTCTGTCCTCAAGCCAATCTTTAGTCTACACACACATTCTACATCACCCTCTCCTCCTGATCTGATTGATCTCCGTATGATTTGTGGGGTTTGGTGGAGGCAGTAGATTAAGCCAATCGGCATAGCATCGAGGTGTCGCAGAAGACAAAACCAGGTAGGTACATTCCCCTCACCAGCAAAGACAATAGCTCTTTGTACGTTTGAATGGCGGACGTGGGTTTGTCCACCTTGGCTGACTCTCTCCTTGAAGCCTCGCTTCACTGTTGAACACGTAGGAACCACCAACTTCAATTCAGACACCACCACCAATTGAACCCACCATTCCTTATCTCAGTCTCACTTCACAGCTTTTAAATTGTAACTCCTTCACGAGAAGAAAAAAACTGTAACCCGTCATCGTTGAAGCCAAAGCGACACAAGCTTCAACGTCCATTTGTCTTATAATAACTTCCCTTTGTTCTTGAAGGGACTTTAACCCAAAGCACAATTTCATTCGAGACAATGATGTCTATAGTAAGTAGTAGTCAAAATATTGGCACTACGGCTGGTAGTAGCAAGACGACAAACCAAAGCAGTTCAAACTCAAGTGGCAGCATGAGCACGGGAGCATCCGTCGCACATGCGATCGTGAGCTTAGCACATACTGGAAACAAGAACTTGCAGGACCGTGTCCATCATTCATGCAAGACGTTAACTCTCCAACCACAGGAAGCTATAAGTCAATTGAGGAATCATCAGCCAAGTAGCAATGCAGCCAATCATGCTGCTGCGGTGCTCACTTCAGTATCTCGCGTCGGAAAGCTTCCTGCAGCAGCGAAACCCGTCAAGAAACGATCAACGAAATCCAAATGCTCGCCAGGATTGCGTAGTGGAAAGTGGACACCAGAGGAGGAAGCGTTTACGAATATGATCATCCACTACTTTAAACGTGGGCTACTGGACGTTGAGGATGGCACTTCACTGCGCTGGTATCTTGCCAAGCGCTTGAATTGCGAGGCCATGCGTGTGACCAAGAAGCTCAAGGGTAACAGCTCGATTGGTAAACAGGTATTTCGTGCCATAGAAAACAACCCCGCTAACCGCCAAGCCATCCGACGCGCTCGTGAAGAGTTGTCTATCGTCGAAGCTCGCTTCCTCGACTCGCTTAGCGCTGGAGGTGTTGGCCCAGGCTCGCAGCATGTTATAACTGCACCATTGCCATCTTCTCTCGCTGTGTCAGTCCTCGGTCGCAAGATTCTACCGAACATGAAGTTTACTGGTGGATCGAACCAACCACCTTTGGCCCCTATGCCCCAACCAAAGTCGGAAGATGCAAGACTATTGATGCACTTCTTTTGTGAAGCGTACGACACAAACTCTGACGAGGAGCCGGAAGCTGAGAAGAAAGCCGAGCCAGGTAGTCTCAGCGTAGATCTAAGCGGAAAACTTGGCAAGAAACGGCCGCTGTCAAGCGCAACTAACGCCAACGCGGCCAAGACACTGGACAAACACGATTCCACTTCTCCTAAGGTAAAACGACAGGCGATCAAGATTCAGGACATGACGGAATGAGCTGTGCATACCGCTCATGCGAGACTATTTAGACGATTACCTAAGGGTTTAGAGAGCGACGCCGAACTTCCACACATTTACAAGATAACTACTCGCAAGAGCGAAGAAAGAAGACAGCTTAGCGTGTCTAACCGCTCTGGTAGTTGTAGCGTGGCTGAAGACAAGGCAAGACAGGCAGACGTTAGACGATATTCTTTTGCCACATGTACATATTCATTTTGGTCTAAAATGCAAGTTACGAGAAGTGCTCCATGATCACAACGCTCTGCTTTGAGCCGCTGCTTTCCATAATGGGGGGGTTGGCAGCAAAAGCAATAGCAGCTTTACTCGGACCAGTCGAAGCAGTAGTGCTTGGCGCTGTAATGCTGTATCCGCGCGCAGAAACCCACGTAAGCAACCACTTCAAGTTGGTAAGTGCGTACATAAGAGCCTTGGTCCATTCCTTGTGCTTGTTTTTCAGAAAGAGAATTGAGTATCCGCCGACGGAATGCTTCGCAACTTTGTAAGGTAACCGGATGGACGGGTCTCGCGCTCGAACATAGGCCATCAATTGGCCAAGGCATGAGATCCAGGCGCCCAGGCCCAAGTTGAAATGAGACTCAGCGAAATTTTGCTGGTCCGAGCCATGTCTACCGAGCAGAAAGTAGCAACATTAAAACATGTTGTTTCGAAGACAATGTCTCGAAACCATCACATCTTACAAACAGTACTCCATGCGGAGATTGCTCGTCCGAATTACTTTCGAAAAGCTCCCCAGCGGTACAATCTTGAAGCTACACACATGATCCATTTGTTACAGACACGACAAGGTTAGTTTGGCCGTCCATTGAAACGGTCATAAAACGTACTCGGTAAAATCCAAGCCAACGATGCTTGCTAACGTCTGCAATAGCAAAGCGCACTCGCCAAAGCCTGCGTTTATCTCGTTCCATTCCACCACAGATGACGCTGACTGTCCCATGCGAAATTGGTTTATTGTGCCAAACATGCCATCACTGCCAATGGCAAACATGTCCGTAAGGATGTTCAAATGTTTGGCTGACGCCACTTTGCGCTCCATCGCATCAATTTGGGCCGTACCAGCGTCCCGAATTTCTTCATAAGCAGCTTTTTGCAGCTGCAGCTCGTTGAGCTGGGCCCACAGTCCAGCTTCTTCATGCATGAGAGCCTTTTCCACATCATTTATCGCTTCTTCTTGCTGAGCAATAGCACTCCTTTCGTTCTCCATTAGCTTCAAATTTTCCACCAGTGCCTCCAGTTCGTTCTCGTACTACTCAAGTCACCACAAAAAACGAGGTAAACATAGATATCACGGTTCAACATTAAGATGACACACGTACAAAGCGAGTCTTGTCGTCGATCTGCTCAGTATCTTGGCTGTGAACACTTGAGCTCGTTGTCTTGTGCAGAAAACCCGCAAAGCAGCGCTTTTCATACCGAGCCCGCTCAGCACGACTACAAATAAACTTTGATCGTTAGTACAACGTGCAATAGTACTTGCTGCTACATATTGTAAGCTCAAAAATGACGTACCCATCGATAATCGTAACCATCCCGTCCATGCAGTCCTTGCACACTGGCGTATATACAGGCAGTCCCGTACTATACCACCACTCTTATATCAGTACACTCTACACAATATCTACACCAAACCTGCCCGTACCAATGTGCCTGTTGTGTCGTGAGCAACTGGACATGATGACTTAGGTCTGCATAGGTCGGTACAGCCACGAAACTGTCCTCCATCTCGAGCTTCTCCTTCTCGTGGCTTGTGTGGCGTACATGAGCTTCAAAATACTCGCCAGCATTAGCATAACTGTCTCTCATTTTCTGTTGCTGACGTCGCTGTCGTTGCTGCAGTTTCTGACGACGTTGCGCCTGTTGCCGTCTCTGTTCCTGTTGGTGCTGCTGCTGGAGCGACAAATTGTAGCGTGCACTAGCATACAAATCCTCTCCAAATCCTCCAGATCCATCCATCTCTGGCGGCATCGCTGCATTTGCTGGCAATTTCTGTAGCAGCAACATGCTCTGAGACGCACTTGAAGTCGGAAGAAGGACATAGGACTCGCCCAATACTGCACCACATTCCACCCAAAATACATCAAAATGAAGCTTAGGAATAGGAGAATACACATAGATGCATTATACAGCTTGAAAGAACGTACCAGGTGCATCAAGTAGCTCGGTCTCAAGCGACCGACGGCATTGTTGACATTGTTGCATGTTATTGTCTTGAAGAATGCGGCAACCTATCATTTGTCATATGGATACGCTCTTTCATAGGTTTTTGAGCTCGAGAGGGTCAACCCATAATGATCTACTACAGTAAGCGTACTCTATGGCGTCTTTTGCTCCACTCACATGGCTCATCGATCGCCACATCGTCTACGATCAGTCGTGCTGCAGTGATAGTAGTTTTGTCAACTGCAGTGGTTGCTTTACAGCGTAAGAAACCGACGTTATTCTTCTCTACTGAAGCTTTGAATCAGCTGCTGCTCTCTGCGTCGATCTTCCTGGCAATTCTCGTGGGTTTAAGACTTTTTGCAGCCTTGCATCAATGGCAAAAAGGTGTGGATGATGTCAGTACAATTGCTGATGCCGCACGCACATTGATAGCCACGACCTGTGCTTTTGTGCACTTTTCACGCAAAGGTGTGGCCGATCGTGCTCAGATTCGCAACAAATGTCAATTCCTTCGAGACGTCAAGCGTTACATTTTGTTGTATGTTACACTAGTGTTTCATGATTGTAATGAAAGTGACGGACCATTGGAATTGCGTGCGTTATTGACACCAAAAGAAGCGGATGAGCTTTCGAGCACAGAAGTTTTCACACTAGGAGAACAGACATGGAATCGAGAATGCAATGTAGTCGGATCACCAAATAAACTGCGAGCAGCCATTGTAGAACTTTGGTTGCGTCGTACGATTAATCGAGCAAGAAGGAAAAGCTACGTGACAATGGAGCAAGCCATGCAACTTGACAAGATTGTGTCGACTTTACCGCAAATGTACACGAGGATTTTCAATCTGTCTAATGTACCAATTGCTTTCAATTTGGCACAATGTCTCTATGTGTGTTTTGTTGGCTTTTTGCTCCTGATGGCAGCCACATTGGCTCCAGAAATGGGATTTATGACAACATTTTACGTGGGAATTGCTGCAGTACTGCTGTTTGCGCTAGATAACGTCGCTTCGTCTATCGAGTGTCCATTTGGTACGGGTGCTAATGATGTGGATCTAGAAGCGCGTATCTTGTGTATTCAAGACGAGCTCAAGGTTATTCTGCAAGCGCATTTCCACTCGGTCGACCACGTAAATTCGTTCAAAGAACAGGATCGCATGGCGTCATTGTCATCACTTCTCTCGGTCGACGTCGAGACGACAAGTCGTGGGCGTACACGTCACGAGTCGGTGTCATCGTCATACTCGTCAAAGGAACGTTCGTCTCAGTACGCTGCACCATCTTCAACATCGGCCACCGATCGAGCTGTGTTGCTGTCAATCCAACCCGATGCGTACGGCGCTATCGCAGAGGATGACGATGAATTGGCAATGCACGGATCGGATGATCACGCGCACATCGCTGTTTAGTCTAGCAAGCTGCAGTTAGTCAGCAGTGGTGCTGTAAAGAAATTGGAGGGCAATGTTATTATGACATCAAGATTTTTGCAGAAAAGTGTTTCGTGGTAGCATGATGAAATTGCTAGATTTCGCTTGTCATATTTGGCTGCATGATATCTATGCCGAAGAGAAAAGTACAAAGGATGACAATCACTTGGCAAACGATGTCAGGTCGGCATGAGTTCGGGAACTGCTGACCTTCTTTGCTAATGCCCGCCATCAATTCGGCTCCCACGATGACCATTAGCTTTATAATAATAACAGCACATAAGACGACGTAATTCACCCATGCAGTTGCCAGGACAAAGCGGCTTCATTCTCACTGCTGTAAGCCCACAAAGGTACATATGAGTGCAGCTTAGTCAGCTCTTTTGTTGTTAGTTCACGGTCCAACCAGAACTAGTCGTGCTACGCAGCCCGATAGTAGAGTTCGACGGGTGCTGCTGGTCGTTGATATCCAAATCGTCTTCTTCCAGAATGGGCATACCATTCCTCATTTCGTAAGTACTAACAGCAGGCAGACTAGCAGAGTCTGCACTACAATCGCTGCTTCTATCATTACCCAGAAGTTGTCGTGTATCAAATTCCCACTCCGACTCGTCATCGTAGCCAGACTGGAACGAGAATTTGCTAGCATCGGAAGGCTGCGAGCTTCCGACGTCGTCACCTAAACCCGCAAAACTGGCACGATCGTACGGGTTTAGCGAAAAGGAATCGTTGCTTTCCTCAGAGTCAGACTTGGAATCGGGCTCCGCGCAAATCGTCTTATCAAGCAAGACACTATCCGCAGCATTAACTGCAAGGTATGATGGAGCAGTGTTGGCAGCATCATAGTCACCGGTCAAATTCAGCCTCTGAATCTGCTGTGCGGGTGTCTTGTGCGATAGAAAGTTTGAAGACGCCATATTGTAGTCGCTTGCGCGCGCCAGCCCGTTCACAGGTTGGCGGAATGGAATGTCCTTCGTGTTTAATTTGTTGTTGCGCTTCTTCATGTAGCAAAAGAGCATAGCAGCCAGCAAGATAGCAGCACCGATACCAATACCAGTGTAAAGGAACATGGAGCTACCGCTGCTTCCACCTATAACAGAAACTGTCACGCTCGAGTAGATGGCCATGTCAATACGATCGCCGTCCACAGTCGCCATAGCAACACGTCCAAACATTGTAAACTGACCCGAAGTGTCGAAAGTGTAAGTAGTCGAGTAGCTAACGGCACCACTCGTGAGGTTCATGTCATCGTATTCCGCGATGGCAAAGGTGGACGATTCGGCTCCCGTGTAGGTGGAGCAGTTGGCACCATCCAAGTTCCGCTGGCAGCCGCTGAAGACGGAGATGGGCACTATCGAGTAGATGTTTGTACGCGGGTTTCGGATAGCATCCGTCATTGATACCTCAGCAATTATAGTCGAGTCATCGGTGGATGATTCTGACATGTCCAGCATCCAGGAAATATCGATCGTGTCTCCAACGTTAACATCCGTAGACGAGAGCGACATGGACATGATGCCAGGACAAAAACTACCTGTTCGAATAGTAAGGTCACCTGAAACACCCGGGTCAAACACAGACACATCTTCTGCAGTCCAGCAATATGTGGTCGTGCCGTCTGTCACAATACTGCTAGGTGTTGTACCAGCAACATCACCGATCTGGACAGGAAAGAACGTTACAAAATCGGCTCGCGAGTTGCCGGCAATGTTGACTACGAGATGGGCGTATCCCGTGTACTTTCCGTCCTTAGGGATCACGAGCTCATTCGAGCCAAAAACGGCTACATTTTCATTGAAATTGTTCGGGTTGTTCGTGGACGAGTAGTAAGTGAAACTGTCACCGGTTGTCGAGAAGAGGTCACATGAGCGCCAGTCACAGATGACCACGTGGGCCACCGCTATGTCATACGTGCTCCCGTCCAAACTCTTTGACGCACTCTTGTTACTATGGAGATAATCGGGCACAGCCGCGCGAGCAATTGGCTGAGGAAACTTAAACTTGGGGTCAGCCGACGACTTGTCTAGCGTGGCGGTATAACGCAGCGGAATAAGTGCGTTCTTCGTCAGCTCACCGGGAATGTCTACGCGAATTGTAATGGGGCACAAACTGCCCGAGTCCTGCACTAGTACATTATCCTTTACAGGCTGCTTCATCGAGTACAGTTCGGAAATAAAATAGCAGTACGTTGTCGTACGATCCATTTTGTACATCACCCTGCATAGAAGAAGACGGTCAATAGTGTGCAAAGACCTTCTAAAAACAAAAGCGTCTTGGTATTCGACACCACCACCACCACAACAACAACAACGTACATGATGACTCGATACTAGAGACGTCCAAAGACTTGATAAACGTGGAAATACCAGTGAACACGAATGAATTGACGCTACGATGGGAATTGATCAACTGAGAGTCACTGAAGCAAGTCGCAACTCTTTCGTGTGTATGTTTTACACTGAATGTTACAATCAATAAAGCCAGTTTGCGTCATGTCTGTGTCCATTCCATGAAATACATAAATTAAACACTGGTTGGACCGTCTACAGTCTCCGGCTAGTAAGTAGTTCTTTAATAGGACGTAGTAGATATGGACGTAATCCTTTATTACGTTTGTAAACATGTGCCAGTTTAAATCTTCGTAGGGAACACCTTTCCTATTCAAAGTGTTTTGCTAGTCAACTAGATCCATGGTCAATTAGGTAACAATCTCGTCGCTTTGGAGAGGCATACGCATAAAACGTATGATATTTCTGCTTGAATCTAGCGATCTGTCAAATAAGCACTGAACTTTCGAAATCGATGCATTGCAAAGTGGAAACTCCTGCATGGAAAGTGGACCTGCTCGGTACCAGGTCATGCAGCCCCCTCTTGTGACATGTTTGTCTCAAGACACAAGTTATGTACATGTATGTGACCCTCAATGTTTGTGGCTAAAACATACGTCCTGGTTTTACCCGAAACATTCCCACGTTGTACCGAAAAAAAGCCAGTACATAATAGCTCGTACTTAACACTAAAGTACCTGCCATCCATCTCACATTCTGAAACGTTTAAACCATAGTCAAGTCTAATGAGAATAATCTGATCAATTCAAGCTATTTGTTCTTTAGGGTGTGTAGCCATGGCGTTCTTTTCTATTGTGGCAGTGCTTCAAGTGTTACTAACTGACATTTTAGCGACCGACATGACCAGCTGCTGGAAGATTAACGGTTCTACTTCAAGCATGACAACGCTTGGCGTCTATAATGGATCAGACTGTGCCGTGGATGTGACGATCTTTACAGTAACAGCGTCCTACGTTCCAAAGGAAAATGTAGCTATGAGATGGGGCTTACAACTAAATGCAGACTCAAGTAACGCCATGGACGTCCCAATGCCGCCTAATGTGATGGCTACACTTGATTCTGATACAACCGTGCAGATTCTCTCCACTTACGTCCGGACCTGCGTGTCACGCACGCAATGCATGTCGAGTATCACGGACGACAACACGTTTACAACGGCCCAGTCAGGAAATTTTACAAGTAGTACAGACATGACGTACTTTGAGGCACTGAACGGTTTATCTTTTGAAGCAGAAAGAAATTATACAGTGGCTGCTGTTGCTGTATTGGGCAACTCCGACAACACTTTATTGCTGTACTACTTTCAGAGCTTTACAGATATCTTTGTGACGAAACAGGCTCAAGTAGAGGCTGTGTGAGTTAATGCCTGAAAAGTTGCAGTGAGTCATTGATCTCTGACGTGTTTGTTTGTAATGCTAGCAGGAAGTTTGACGGTCACTCGACCTATTGTCGCGTGACAGCGCAGAGCCCTCGAGACTACCAGCTGCGCGTTGATGCTCTTCTTGCGAGCAGTGAAAGCTCTGAAGTCGAAGTGATTATTGGTGTCAAGAACGTCGTGCAAGCTACTCGCGGTTTCGATGTTGTGTGGATTGCCACGCTGTCTCGTAACGTGTCTAAGGAGATTATACTGCCTTCACCGCTGAAAGCAATCTCTTTGGGGGATGAACAGAAAAATCATTACACCGTTGTCAGCTCGCTTGTGAAGATGTGCGAGCGCGACGTGGGCTGCAACGAATATTCGCGCACAGTGACTGTATCATCTGCTCAAGTTTACGCAAATTTTACGTCCGCGAACACGGTATCATTTCATGTCAGCAGAATTGTCGTTCCGTCAATAGGTTGGTACACGGGCTTTGCTCAAGTGACGCTGGCGGGAAACGATGTTACTTTACAGCGATATGACTTCATTAAATACTTTGAGATATTTGCAACCGAAGAAAACGCGGCGGGGCAGATGGAGAGCGAAAAGCTTGCAAAGAGTGGCAGCGAATCGTACTGCTGGGGAGTCGGCGCAGGTGCTGACAGCAAGAGTGTTGATGTTGCCAGTGTTATGTTCTCGGGGAACAGCAGCAACTGTCCATATACGATAAACATGACCGCCTCTACTACGACGTTGTCGCTAAATGCCGATGTCATAGTGAGCTGGACTGTTGCACGGCAGGCTGAAAATACCGTGACAGGTGAGATGGCTGTAAACGGCACGACGGTTTATGACGTGCTGACGGATGAGTACGTAAACCTGCCACAGGGGAATATCTACTATTGCAACGACACAAAGTGCTCGCCATTTTCGGAAAAGAAGACGTTGATGTATTCTGCGCCGGCCACAAACTTCTCTGCGATAAGTGGTATGGCTCAGTTTTCGTCAAAAGTCGCTTTTTCTAGTGAAGGAACATACGCACTTATGGCGCATGCTGTAGTACCAAATGGGGACGACTTCCGGTTTGACGTTGCATCGCAGATACGTGTAACCGTCACGGCACCTGCAGTATTGGCTTCGACTGAGGAAGCTTCACATTCCAACATTGTACTTATCGTTGGCCTCCCACTCGGCTGTGCCGCACTCATTTGCCTCGTTGTGTTCGGACTTGCAGTCCGTCGACGACGGACAAGACAGAAAGTCGCACAACAGAAGGAACAGCAACAGCGACACAGTTTCTTTGGCTTTCCCCAGTTGTCAAACACCAACGAACTTGCATCAACGTCGTTCAACTCCGGCCATGGGTCGGACGAGTCAGGTCACTTTATGTACAGAAAGGCGCAGCGGTCGCCTCTAGACATGCCTCGCGCTTCTTCGTTGTCTTACGATTTGAACTCACGGACAAGTTTTGTTAAAGCTGGGAACGAGGTCTCTGGCTATAGTTTCATCTTCTCTGACTCGGAGCTTTCGTATTCATCGTCCATCGAGCGGACTTCTCGTACGCAGCCATTGACTTGAAAGCCACAAATCTGAACGTACAATCACACCATCGCTGCTGTCCCAAAATAAGTTATGAATGAATGATAAAAGGGTTTAATACCATGTACTGGCAGTTATAGCAGAACGTCAACATCGCGTCAACTTCAACTTGTGGGGTATGTTGATGTGGTTCACATCACCCCGTAGAAACTACTAGCTACCTTATCACTTTTAAATTGGAAGAGCGGGAAGTGCGTGATGGACGTGGCCATGAGTTGCGAGTTGAATCATCATCAAGACGAGGAAATGGACGAGACGGTCTCGTCTATACCTACAACTTTCTCAACTCCATGTCGACGACAAGACAAGACACGTGATGGATTTAAATTTAGCGTCACGCCAGAGTCCTCTCGACAGCGTTTGTCAACGTCTCGAGGTCGTACAGAGACCGCAGGACTAGAAGAATCACCTGCTAGATACTCACCTAGTAAAGTAAAAGCAGCCGTGCGTTCTTTTGCCGATTTTCTGCACTTTCTGGTACGTTAAATGGGTCTAAAAAGAGTTCGAAAGGGAAATTAGAGCACTTAGAGCCATGTTTTGGTGCTCATGGAGGAACAGGAGGAGCACCAACAGGAACATGCACTTATGCCAGTAATTATTCAAAGATTTGCAGAGCTTGGAGCGGTAATTGAGTCTCAAAAGAGACATATTGACCGCTGGAAGGTAAGATTTCATTTTCATGAGACAGGGAGACACGAGATGACTGATGTCTTTTTGTATACAATAATAGGGCAAAGAACTAGACTTGGCTATTGAAGAAGCTCAGCAGAATCTCGAGCTTATTCGAGAGCTAGGAGAGGTTTGTAGGATGTTCTTTTTGTGGCTGGAGACTATTAAATGCTGACAAAGAGTTGATGCCTTGATGCTCTTTTGTTGGTTCTTTTGACAGACTATTCAGAAACAGGAGCTGCAGATTGCGGGAGATAAAGTGGAAAAGCAAAAGTGGGAGGAAAAGTACCAACTTGCTGCTCAGGAAATAGAATCTTTGAAGAAACAAGGCACTTATCAGATTCAACAACTACGCTCGGAAGTATCCATGTTACGACAAGCGGGAGTGGATGTGGAAACGAAGCTAAAGGAACGAGATGTTTCTCTTGAGACTTTACGTAAAAAGAATGACACATTACACTCCCAGTTGGAGCGCCTAGAGCACGATAGCTCGGTTATTGTGCAGGAAAATACGACATTGAAGCAGCAAAGGTCCCACCAGTCGGACGAGATGCATACTTTGGAGCAGGAAATTGATGAACTGCGTGAGCATTCTGAATCTGTAGTAAACAAGGCCACAGAGCTTGAGCAGGATGTGAAAACGTGGCAAACTAAATACGAGGAGAAAGAGCATCGGAATAATGAGCTGGAAAACGCGCTTAACCATAGCAGTCAAAAATTGGGACAGCGGGAGGACGATCTGGAGCATTTAATGGGCGAAAACCGTAAATTGCAGGAGCACATCGAAAGGATGGCGCAGGAGCACGAGAAGCATTTAGCTGAGCAACACAAATACCGAAACGAGGCTGAAGCAGAGCTACAGCGACTTAATCAAATACTTCAACAAGAATCAACGCGATTCCAGAACCTTAAAAAAGAGGCAGGGGAAATGCGTGCGCAAATTGAAGCGCAGGCCATGTCCGCAATGAGCCAACGTGAACAGCAATTGCTAGATGAAAAGTCTCGACTGGAAGAAGAGCTGCAGCATCAATTTGGCAAAATTAACGAGGAAAACATTGAATTAAGAGCAAAGATAGAGAACCTGAAGGATACCAATCGACGCCAAAGCACAGAGATTGGTCAGCTAATGGCATCCTCGCAAGAGCTTAATCAACAATATCAATCCCGTAACGCGGATACTCAAAGAATGCAGCAGCTTACGGAAGAATTAGCACGTGCAAAGTATCAGATCGAGCACCTGGTAAAGGAAACGGCCACCAAGGATAGTGCGCACGAGGAAACAATTAAGTCGCAGTCTGCTGACTTCGAGAACCAGTACAACAATTTCGTCTTCCAAGTAGAGGGACAGCTCGATGCTTTGACACGAGAGAATGAGCAGCTGCGATCGGATCTAGATGAGGCAGCGAAGAAGCTGGACATGTATGAGGGTAAATTATCGGCTCAAGGAAAGGAGCTTGACAAGTGGCGCAAGGAGTGCGAAACACTTCAGCACCAGTTGCAAGACGTTACTCGTGAATATGATTCCCTTAAGCGTGAGCTTGATCATAATGTCTACGAACTTGAGTTGCAAAAGATGAAGAACGCTGAAGTACGTGCGCAGACTGAGCATTTCCTGTCCCCTGACAATGAGTTTAGAAAAGAAGTGAAACTGCTCCAGAGCGAACGTGTGCGCCTGGAAGAGCAGAACCAGGAGCTGCAAAGACATATTGAAGCGATCCGAGTGGAGGCTGACGCAAGACTGAACGAAGCCCAGCAAGTACACAATCATTCTCTTGAGCAGGAGGCGGCTCACGAGAATACAGTTCGCTTGCTATATGAGGAAAAGGAAGTGATAAATCGCAATATGATGGATCTAGCTTCGGAGAAATCAGCGTTAGAATTTCAAGTTATGACGGCCAACAATGACGTTGAAAGATGGAAGTCATCTGTACAGCAACTTGAAAATGATAAGCGTGGGCTTGAATTTCGCATCCAAGAAGTGATGCGGCAGGCGACTGAGCAGATTGAAACCCAGAAACATTCGGCAGCAATGGCTACTGAGGATGGTCGAACTCAATTGCAAACGTTGACAGCCCATATGAACGAAGGTCATCATCAAGTGCGAAGTCTGCAGGAAACAATCACATTGCTGGAAGAGAAGCTTCGGGCTCAACAATACGAGTACGAGAGCTTGCGGATGAAGAATGAGCAGTTATCTATCCAGCTCGAGTACCTTCAAAACGAGAAACGCGGGCTGGAGGATATTCTGCCTTCTTTGTTGCGCGAGAGCCAGTCTGGGGTAGAAGAAGACCTTTCTCAAAAGCTGGAACGGTTTGTACGCGAGATGGATCGACAGGTCCAGAAAGCAAGTGAAAAGGCTGTCCATCTGCAGGCAGCTTTGGACTCTAAGCTTGAATCGGAACAACTACGATCAAGTGATGAACGGACCAAGCTTGAGAAAGAGAATGCAAAGCTTCAGCGAGAATTAGCAAATTATGCTGCCGAGTTGGAGAAACTAGATGCAGAGCTTCTTGAACTTCAACGTGAACGTGAGAAGCAGAACCACATTCAAGATGAGATGCATCAAACGATTGCGGCGCACGAGGCGGAAAAGTGGGCTCGAAGCAGCGCATCGAATGAGTTTGAGCATCTCGAAGCTGCGCATGAAGAGTTAAAGACAATGCACGATCGGACTAAGACGGAGTTAATGGCCCAACTGAAAGAGAAAGAAATCGAGGTGGCTGATTTACGGGACGATGTGACAGAGTTGCAGTCCAGGTTGGATCAAGAAAAGGAAATGTCACGACATTTGATGGATCGCTCTCATAATGGAAAACAAGAACGCACACAAATTGAAAAGGACCTGGAAATTCAAATGAAGGAGCTAGAAGTGACAGTGAAGTATCTTCAGCACAAACTTCAAGTGAGGGAGCAGTCTGCCGGAGGTAACGAATACCAGGCACGCGTGAAAGAACTAGAAGCGTCCGTGGAGCATCTTCAGCATGAACTAGAAGTAAGTGAATCCACCGCAACCGAACAGCAAGCTCAAGTGAAGGAGCTTGAAGCGTTAGTGAAACAACTTCAAGATAAACTTGAAGCAAGCGAGAAAATTGCCGCAGGAAGCGAACACCAAGCACGCGTAAAGGAACTTGAAGACAAAGTTAAGCATTTTCAACAAGAAAAACTCCGAGTAAGTGAGCAGCAGTCTGCTGAAAGCTATGAACTACAGGCACGTGTGGACGAACTGGAAACACAAGTGAAACAGCTTCAACACGAGCTGCAAGTCAGCGAGCAGTCCATCACAGGAAGAGAACAGCGCGTCATGCACGAAAAATTACAAAAAGAACGCGAGTATCGATCGATGCAAGCGCGGTACGACAGTTTAGCCGTTGAAAATGCTACCACTGTTACAAAGTTGGATGCGAAAGTAACTGAAGTTGACCACTTACACCAAGAGATTAAACAATTACAGGATGAGATCGAACAACTACAGGATGAGATCGAACGATTGCACGTGGAAATTCGTGACAACACGACTGAGATGGATAACGCAAGAAGCCATCTCCACGTATCCGAAGAGCTTACGCTGAAGCTAGAAAACATGCAAAATGAGCTCACTGCACACGAGAATGACGCTCATGAGCACAAATTTGCACTGGCTGCAAAGGATAAAGAGCTGCAGCATGCACGGGAAGACGTAGACGAACTGAAATGTCAACTTCGGAATGAACTGCAGAAGAAAGAAGATGAAGTTGCTTCTTTGAAGCGACAGAATCTGAAATTTAGGGAGCAATTGAAACAAATTGCCCAAGCAAAGCTCGCTCCGAAGCGCTTGGATAATGCTCATGAAACACCGATGAGAGAAGATAAGGAATTTTACGAGCGACTGTTGCAGCGGGAGGAGGAACTAACATCACAAATTGCTCACCTCAAAGACGCCAAGTCTGCTATGCTCAATCAGTTCCGCCGCGAGATGAGAAAACTGAACATCGAGTGTAGTGCTCAAGGGTCACCCGCTGACGAAAACAACGCTGACGACAGTGATTTCCACCGCGGCATGATGCAAGTCTCAGCACTTCTTCGTAGCTTTCAAGATCGTGAAGCCCACCAGAACGCACTTATTAGCCGCAAAGAGAAGCACATTAACGAGCTGAAAATGCAACTGCTCAATGTGGAACAGCAGGATAAATCACTTCATCAGCAGGTGGAAGCCATGAGCAGGGAAGTTTCAAAGCTGAACTTGGAGCACAAAGAGTTACGTGAAAGCCCTATATCTGATTCAAACGACAGCGCAAGTGAACTCTCGACGATTGGTGAGTGGAAAGAAAAGTGCACGAAGCTCAAGCATCGCATGCGTGAACTAAAAGAAGTGAACACTAAACTCAAGGAGATTCGTTTTTCCAAGAGTGACATGAAGGCACTTGTGAAGAAAGTTGAAAAACTTACAAGTCAAGTGCTGGATAAAGATGTGCAGATTCAAGCTCTTCGTAATCGCGAGATGTCAAAGTTTACAAAGAGCGGTGCTTCAACTGGATCACGTCGTTCAAGAGATTTGCTTGTTGTGTTGAAAGAAAAGGAGCAGAAGATTATGGTGCTCAATGATCACTTGACCGGTCTAATGACGGAAAATATGCGGCTTCAACACAGCACAGAGCAGTATGTCATTCGATACGGACCTTTGGACGGTGCAATGATGAATGGTGTTATTGGTAACTCAGGCATTAGAGTGCCTTATAGCAGCAATCGACAAGAACCTGCTGTTAGGTCACAATGAGGTAAAATACCGCCTCAAGTCCCCTAAAAACGATCACTAGACCGGTATATCGGTACTATCATTTTGATGAGGATCACATTTTGAGTACGATACATTAAACAATTAGAACGAAAGGAAGACGACGATGGTTAAATTCTATAGCACTACGAAGCTAATTTTGTTGCAGATTCTATGCTTGCAGGTAATTTATATGGTAATCTGTATCGTATCCATCTCCCTCACTTAACGTTATGTTAATTCGTATATTGTACTCTATTTCTTTTGCTAGTGTTCTTACTACTTGGCTCAAGGTCTTTTGCTGGGCATTTGTCATGGCACTCACGTGACGCTTGATGATTTCTTTGCGTACTACACACAAACTATTTCAACCATTGCTGGTTTAAAGAATGTTCTTGCTATTGTGGCTGCCAGTCTTGTCAGGTCAGTCTTTTCTTTTAATCTCTGCTGAATTGATTTTATTGATTTTCGGCTTAAATGATGCCTCTCTCTCTTTACTTTACAGTGCTCTAGGCCTCATGGTTTTTGTGGAACGTGCTAAGAAATGTCTGGATTTTGGTGTCACTCTCTATTTTATTGACTTTTTGGCTCAATGTTTCTATTCGGTGCGTCTTTGGTTTGTTACAATATATGAAACTGAAGCATGTAAAGTGAAAATACTGTTGCTACTCTAGGAATTTCCAAAGATGTGGGACTGGTGGTTCGTGCATGTTATGGCAGCAGGTGTGACTGTCGTGCTGGGAGAATATCTGTGCTCACGGCGTGAATTGGAGGATATTCCGATGGCTTATCTCTTTACAAAGGACGCTTCACGCCAAAACTAGATAAGTCCTCAACGACGGAGTTGGGTCTTTATCTCAAGCGAACAAGTCTACAAAGAATGTTATGCACATAGGACCGCTTTATTTGTTGCTACAAGTAGCTGTGATGTATTATTTTCCTAGGTTACGACAAGACGTACTGGGTTTTCGCAAAAGGAACGTGACCATATCGAGCTGCATGAGATAAGAGTTTTCCATACGGTCCATGGCCTGACGCACAATTGTATCGAGTCCTCGCAGGTGCGGTAGGAGATCAGCATACGCCAATGCAGCCACAAGGTGCTCCATGTTATCGTCTCGTAAAATCTGTTTGGGCAAACGCAGGTGCGTTAATCGTGGCAGCGTGGCGAGCTCTTGCAACAGCACAGACATTGGCATGCGCACATGAGAAAGATCCAGCCGCTGTAGTGTACACGTCTGCGTACGCGCAAGTTTGCGGACCCAGGAGGATGATGCAGTAGGCGGTGCGACGACGCTGACAAAGCGTTTTGTGGGAAGAGTAGCTTCCTCTAGAGCCTCGGAAAAGTACTGAGTGCCTAAGTTTGTCCTGGGCATGAGCTCATCCATTACTAGTGGACTCACAGACATACTCTCGTTTGGAAACTCTTCCACGCGGGATGACAAGGTGCCATAATACGCTATGAGCTCGCGTTTATACTTATTCACATCGCTGATTGACGTTCTAGACCAATGTGACGGCGATAAGTGGAGATCTAGTCGAGCTCCTGGACACTGCAGGTAGTCGTGTCGAAGCAATTTGAATGCGGTTGCCGAGTGCGTGATTATAAGATACGTAGCATATTCCAGGAAAGACCGCAGACTGCTCGAGAAGCTGTCTGGGAAGCGCAGTAGCTGTGTCAGCACCGAGGATGCGTTTGCATGTGCAAAACGACCACGAGCCCACACAATCATAGCGGTTTGGATTACCGAGCTCACCATATTGGGGTGGGCGAACGCATGTCGGTGGCGAAGTGGAAAAGGCATGGCACCACGATCGCCACCGTTAGCAAGAACACCAGCATCATCTGCTACCTCTGGTCGTACCCCTGCTGGTATCTGACGCTGTTGCGCGATTGCATGTAAACCGTCACCATTCGTTCTATGAATATTTCTTTCCGCATCCATCGCAAGAACTGGATCCAATGCTCTTCCTCGAGTGCCACCTATGTGATGGCAATTTCGTCGGCTAATAAAAAGCTGGAAAAAGGGCGTGCGTCGCCTACAACGTTGGCGATTGTCCTGCATAGCCTTTGCCACTGCATTATGGACAGCTGGAATGTCCACACTGGCATCAGAACCTTGGTCCATCTCCTCACTTTCATCTCGTTCCACCTGTAAATTTGCAGAAGCCGAGCCATTCTGTGGCAATGTCGTTTTGTTTCGTGGCTGGCAGTGCACCACAATATTGACAGGGGAAATGTCAGCGTGCTCATAGTTCGACCTCTCCAATGTATGTACTGCAAGCAACAATTGACGTAAGAACGACCGTAATATCCGCTCGTTAACCCGCTTATTCGTGGACAGCCACGTGCTCAACGTCACCCGATCCCGCCCGTCCGCCACACTGTAAACATCTTCGTCCTCGGCAGCATTAGCACCATTCTGAGCATTCATCGCAACAGGTCGTTGCTCATCAGGGACTGCTATCGCTTCATTTAGCACACCGGCCGTAGGAGCACCTTGATCTTCTCTTTGATCTTCCAGATGCAGTCCCGCAGCCATCTGCGCCTCTGGCATTCCCAACGTCGATGCTGTTGAGTTAAATTTCACACAAACCAAATGCACACACATAGTTGCTTCGTCTCGTCGTCCTTGACATACCCTCCTTATCTGCGAAAGTGGTCCAGCTTGTCGCTGCCCATGTAACGGCTGAAGCAGCTCAAGAAAGTGACCATTATTTCTCGTGGCAGCAGCATTCGCCGTTATTGCTGCATTGTCACTGCATTTCAAAGACGCCACCTGTGCAAGTTGCAGTTTTTGATACACCATGTATACCAAGATAGCAGGTACAACGTCCTGCTGCTGCGTCGAATCCCGTTCTAATCCTAGCAACGATCGTATCGGATACTTTTCCAACGACGTAAAAAGCATTGGTTCCCAAAATAAATCATCTCGAGCCAAAGCTTTCCATGCCGTGCAGACACCACTGACACACAATAATTCTTGTCGTGAAAAGAATGCAAATAACAGCATTTCAAGGCTTCCTAATGCGTCAATTCCGACGTTCTCATGTGCATTCGTATGCGAACGATCATCATCATATTGCCAATCCAACACCTCCTTTGAGAGAATCATATTGGTAGAAATCTGCATTGAATAACACGTTTCTTCCTGTTTGTCCAGTAACGGGTAGAAATGAATACGTTCTCGTACGTCTCGTAGAGCTCGAATCTTATCACGGCACTGACGTTGCTGTAGCATGAGTGGGTCTTCGTCTTCGTGTGAATAAGGTGAGTAAGCAGTGGGTTTTGGCTGAAAACACTGATTTTGTATCGAACGAATCCATTGCGATGAAGATGATTGACATGGAGAACAGAGAGATTGCTGATCGTCATGAGCTGGTCGCTTGATACATCGACGAGGAGAGGAAGCCATGAGCTGGTGAATTGGATGATAGAGGAAAAATAAAAAACATTGTCGAGGTAATTTAAAATGCCGAAGTAATATATTAAGGTCCGTAGTTCTAATGTCCTACATGGTACATACAAGTCTTATGTGGAACACCGAAACATTACGTACATTATCATCAACAAGTGGTAATTTACTGGTAATCGACGGAGTAAAACATGTACATGGGCGGTGTATCATGTCAACACTCCCACTGCATGAAAACCTTTTCCTTGATGCAGGTCGTTTTATGCAAGTGTATTTTCTTTGTCGTTGTTCTGAGTTCCTTGGTAAGGATGTCCGCCAATTGATGCTTCGTATCGACGTAGTGTTCGACGCTCCACGTTGTCGTGGATAAAGTGGTGGCAGATGTCAACATACTTCGTCCGTGTGTGATATCCAGCATTACTTGCCAGTGCAATGTCCATATAACTATCTTCCCAGGCAAGCGTTCCTTTCACTTGCTCACGACATATGTCCTTCAGCATAGCTTGCATCTATAGTACTTATTGTATACAGACTCAGATACATATATTCCTCTTCCGCAGAACAGCGAGAGTGTTAGTTCTCTGGTACTTGGACAATCTATGTACGATGTATTTTATATGGCGATAATATCGGTTATCGAGCCCTAGTCGATATGTTGCGGTATCGGTAATATCGGTAATATCGTACCTCACTACCAGAAAGTATAAGAAATACAATGTATATTATAAGTATGGTTTACAACCGTAACGAATGTATTTATATAACCGTCATGTAACCCCGTTACATTGTTTCACATCAAATTGGCGACAAAAAATGTAAAAATTTATAAAAATGATATTGTCGCGCATGCGCCCTGTGACATAACGACGTATCATGCAATTGCTGGAAACAATGAGTCATGTTTCTTATTACGAGTCATAATTATTAAATTTAAGCTAGTTGCAACTTAACAGCAACACCCCATGGGGGCTTTGTGTTGACGTCCAGCGTCAAGTGATACTTTTGTGTAGCAACTCAGGTGGCCGTAAGCGTCTACGAGCGTATAGAGCAGTCGCCAAGGGAGGGTGCTGCAATAGGCAATAGTCAATTGAATAACAAGGCCGTACCCTGTACAGAGCAAAGTGCAAATATCATAGTGTGGAGCACTCTAATTACCATCCTAAGTGATGATTGGCGGCACTACTTCAACCCAACGCAGCCAATCAACTCAAACAGATCGCCTGTCATATCCGATAACTATTTAAACAGGAAACTGGTCAAGATGCTGCTCACGTTTCTCGAAAGGTTGCAATTCGGACAGAATGGCAAAGTTTTTGTCGACACGTGCATCTACTTGGCCATTTGTTTTCTATTTTATCCGCTTTTGTTTATATAAGACAAAAAACTGAATGAGTAATAAATTTTGACCTTCTTCGCCAGACTCATGCCTCCATTGCGGTCAAAGTCAAGGGTGCCGTCTTCAGTGACGTACGTGTCCAGCAAACAATCTTGCATGATATCACCAACGTCTTGAGCGTGCTCAGAAGAGACAGTTTCGGCGAGTTCAGCTTGGGCGCGTGCTTGTGAAAGGTAAATCAGCGACTCGAGATGTCGTGTTGTGATAGGTATACCATCCATTGGGCTCTGACCCTCACCCGCTAAACGCAGCTTCAAGTACTTCTTTTAGAGCACGGCAGAAACCTAGGATGACAAATGTGGATGCACGTACCGGCGAGCATCAGCGATGGACTGCCGCACGAAGTAGAGAGAAATGGCGTTTGTGCTGAGCTTGGATGCGTTCTGAACGGGACGATGCGGCAGCATTCGATGACCAGACGTTGCAGGCTCTACGTATCTGATGTCCAAACGTTGCAAGCTCTACGTATCTGATGTCCAAACGTTGCAGCCTCTACTTATCTGATATCCAGACGTTCCAGCCTTTACGTAGTCGCTTACTGCTGGTTCGTCAGCGCAACGGCTGGGGATTTGAAAAGGTATTGATGCATTGTTGTCTCGCATACTTTTCCTTGGTCTTCGCTTGCCGCGCGCATGCGAGTTCATCACGTGCTCTGACAATAGTCGATCTCTCTCTTCGTCTACTCCGTACAACATGATGAAAACAAGGTCGAAGCGAGACAGCAGCGCAGCTTTCATTTTTAGGTTCTCTGCCACTAAGCGATTACGGTCGTAGTGACCACCTCCATGGGTTAGCAGCAGCGACGACCGATGTCCATGCATTTAGTTGCACACAATACCTGCTTTTGCAATGCTGATGCTTTGTTGCTCCATTGCTTCTAGCAATGCCTGGTAGTCAAGTTCCATTTTATCGAATCCATCAACACAGCATACACCTTGGTCTGCAAGAGCGAATGCACCGGCTTCCAGCGTGTAGTCGCCATATCTATCTTTCACCATTGTAACAGTCAACTCCGTCGTCGCGGTCGTGTTTCCACCAAAGTATACAGCTCGCGGTGCAACCATAAACACAGCCCGAAGCAATTGGCTTTTACCCAGTCCAGGATTTCCAACAACTAGCACATGTGAATTTGTTCTGCGCAAACATGTAGTGTCCTTATCGTCCGAGTTCCGCCGAGCAGAGCTACAATCAGGCCAGCTTTACAATGTTACTACGATAAAATGTCTAGACACAAGAAATGAACAAGATGGTCGAAGACTGGTTGATGATGTGCTGATCTGCACAGATCTTATTTAGTAAAATTAATGTTTGAAGCTTTTGTCTTTGTCCTTCTCCTTCTAAACAAACAAGCGGAAGCCACTTCGTAAAGTCAAACATCAAAACGTCAGTCAGCGGTTATGCCGAAATATATGGCTTTGTCGCAGGCTGTAACATTCGTATTAGGATGTCCAGTTGCCCCTCCAACCGGAGTTGCTGCTGCTCCAGCGTCTGCAGACGTGTCTGCACCGCGTCAAGTGCGCTCTGAGTCTGAGTCAAAGTCTCACGGAGACCATTCACCTCCTGAATTAACTCAGCGTGAGTTTTTACAGATACACCGGCCTCCGCCGGCATTAATTGATAAGCAAAGGAACCTTTAGTTCCATGTGGAGAAATTTCTTTTGGAGCGTCGTCACCGTGATCAAAATCAGTGTCTGGTGAAGTAACGTGGGTATCCTGAGTCAAAGAAGTCATTGGAGTTTGAGATACCCCTGCGGCAAGATTGCCCTTACACCGTTGACGTTTTTGAATGTCCTGTTCAGGGTCATCTTGCGACCGATGGCGCTTCTCAACAGTATTGGTGAGAGCGGGCAATCTCGCGGCCACGGCCTGTCGTGAACTTGCAGCTACATGTGTAGCCGAAGCACTTACGTGCTGAGCAATAGGCGCATAGCGTGCCCGTGCGGACTTTATTTGGTATCTGGCCTTAAGCTTCGCGTAATCAAAGCGCAGCCTCCGTTCGAGACGAACGTCCGCCACGCTGGCACTCGCTCGTAGGGCATACATACTTTTGAAATGTCGTGCTTTATGTACCCAACGGACAAAGTCCTTGTCCTCTTTACCTTTCTCTTCCCCTTCGGCAAGGATGATGGGTACGCCTCTCATGGCCGGAACCGAGGCACCTCGTGCTTGCTTAACCAGCCGCGCCTTATATTGACTTCGCGACATATAGTCTGGCTCCAAATATTGTTTGCGTAACGCCGTCCGTATGGCAATATCCTCAGGTGAAGTAGCCTCACGACCTATGATCCATAACGCTAGCGTTTGATCAATTGTCTCGTTAAAATGCTTCTCTACAGATGGTCGCTTACAGGTATAGTCACGACTCGCTTGGAGTGCAGCCATACTCCTCGATTGGTGCTTAGCGACCTTCTCCTGTGCAATCTTTTGTTGCTGCTCCTCATCGAGTGGGTTTGTCACTATCGTGGCTGATGTAGCGTTTGGTCTATAACTCAGTGCAGTGAGAGTGTCTGCAGCACCACGTGTAGGGAACAAATTCAGTGCGCGTCGGGATTCGTCTACACTCTTAGGAATGGGTTTAGTCTCAACGTCTTCTAGGAAGTTGATGTCACATGCTTGATCCACCGCATCCTCGAGTTCTCCTGTAATGAGATCACGCAGAGTCTCAGACTTATGGCCAGGGGGCGTCATGTGTGCGTGCACTGTGAATAACCGTGAGGTTTAATGTTCGCGAAGCACTACCTCCAAGAGGAATTTTTTTCGAATGAGGTCATGTGGTAACGTCAGTCTGGTGGGTGAGGGTGTAACGGGGTCACACGACGGTTGGATAATTGTATCCGGAATTACGTCACGGCTGTAAACCATACATATCGCATAAAATCGATTCTTGGTACTTGTCTACAAGAAGGTATTAAGTGCGGGCGTTGAGGCACGGTATCGGTAATCCCATACCATATCGTTGATGGTTCGATAACAGATATCACCACTCACAGATGTTAGGATGTACGTCATGCAATAAAGAAGTCTCCATACTATTGTTACTAAAACATAGTTATTATTTAGTGTAGGGTACCTAGGGTATGCTTATTCTAAGATCTTAATTCATAAATACAAAAAAATAGTCTCTTTTTGAGTTATAGGCCAAGATTTTAAACGGTTTCTGAGATTTTTTTGAGAATTGTTTGGTCTAACTAAAGCGCTTGTACAGTAGCTCCCACATATTTAGCTCGTTTTGATCGCAAATATATAAGCTCAGGAAAATATTAGAAACTTTCTAATTATAAACCCCTTCGCAGACCAGATTTTAGCAGAAACAGGCTCCAATATCGAACTTAATATGATGATCACGCGAATCTCAACGAGGCGGTCGAGCAGGGGCTCCCGCATACAAGCACATCGGACGAGCAGAGGCTCCCGATCAATTTCGAGGCGG